CTGCATTTATTTGATCCAAAGTACAGCAAAAACAGTAACATTTTGAATTATTTTTACTATTTGAAATAACTGCTTTCTATTTGAAATTATAGAAATTGTATTTAGCGCTGCAATTTTATTTTATTTATAATACTTTTAACAAGGTTGCTTTAAATTGATCATAAATGCTGTTCTTCTGAACTTTCTATTCATCAAAGAAACCTGAAAAAAATTATACTCCTTTGTTTTCAACATAATAATAAATGTTTTTGAGCAACAAATCAGCATATTAGAATGATTTCTGAAGGATCATGTGACTGGAGTAATGATGCTAAAAATTCAGCTTTGAAATCACAGGAATAAATCACATTTTAACATTTTCAAATAGAAAACAGTTATTTTAAATAGTAAAAATATTTCAAAATGTTATTGTATTTTGGATCAAATAAATGCAGGCTTGGTGAGCAGAAGAGACTTCTTTAAAAAAACATTAAAAATCTTACTGTTCAAAAACTTTTGACTGGTAGTGTATGTCAGCCTATAGTTTGATATAAGGTAAACATTAATTTATTTGTGCTTTTTTTTTTTTTTAAATATTATATAGTTTTATAGGAGGTTTCATAGACTTGGAAATTTCATTTTTCAGAAGTTTGTAGGTACAGACATCTGTTGTGGGTGTTCTTGGCAGTTTTTATGAGGCTTTTTTTTAAATAGTGCTCATATCGATATCGGAATTACATTGTACTAACCGAAATTAAGAAATATATATCGTGATATCAATTTTGGCCATATCGTCCAGCCCTAGTAGTAAACTTTTGAACTTAACAAATAAAATATGTGCCATAATGTTTTATGACAAAAGTATACATCAACACCACAAATTTGACAAGAATACAACAAAATACCTACCAGATTTCTGAAGTCTAATCAAATGCACATATGTTCTATAGTCTAAAAGTGTCTCCTTTCTGTGGTGACGGCAAAAGTACATACTTGAGTGAGATACTATGCTAGTACTGAGACTATACCATTACATTTTAATTTTGATATCAGAAACGTCAGCATCTAGCCTTTACTTTTAGATTCATACATTTCTAAAGATTTATTTAGGATTTTTCTTGCCTTTAATAGATTAGTATAGTGTAAAGTGACAGATTCATATTAGACAGATTCATACTATGGCTGTTATCATGATATCAGATTTTCACTACACGATTATCATAATTCACAATATTATGACAATATTATCATTATATCTATAGATCTAGATCTATTTTGTCACATTTAAACACAAGTGTAGGGAAGCAGAAAGAGAGTTTATAACCATAACTATACAATAGAGTACAAAAAGAGTAAAAAGAGCTTTTGAAAAGAACTGTCGATCGGCAGAGCTAACACCCTGTATTTTTTATAGGATCCAAAAAAAAACCACACTGGCGAATAATCTATTTTGGGTGAAGGTAGAGTGTCTCGTTTTTGTGTATCATCTTGTTTGACATGATTTAGTGCAGCAGTACTAGCTACACACGGAGTCATTGTCTTCATTTTTCCATTTTCTGATGGATGTCAAACAGTTTTACTATACTTAGTTACAACCTACTATGTTGGAGTGTCAACCAGATTACAACCAGAATCAAACATAGTGTCAACAGTTACTGCCACTGGATTATTTAAAATATTACTGTGTATTATGTGTAGTATCAACACCACATCAGTAGTGGTCGACCGATATTGGTTTTTTGACAGCCGATGCCGATGCTGATATCTTGGAAAGCAGGGTGGCCGATGGCCGATATAAAGCCGATATAATTTTATTTATTTTAATTAATGTTTAAGAAATTTGAAATAATTTGAAAATAGATTAAAAAGTAAATGTGTTAAATAAACATATACAAATATCGGCCGATATATCGGCCTTGGCGATATATCAGTCGACCACTAAACATCAATATTTAATTTTTCATTCAATATCATGATCATCATCACATAATTCATACTCATTTCAAAACTGCCATGGTAGTTTTGGCCTTAGACCTTAGACTGATTCAAACCGACAACATTTTTGTGTGATTCATTAAAAGAATCGGCTCATTTGTTCACAAACTGGACTATATTAGCATGTTTGCATGTAAGTCTGTGTTTGTTTTTGCGTGCATCTAACAAAGATAATATCTTTTTTTTTTGGTGTGTATAGACTTCTCATAACATTCAATTCACACTGCAAGATGCAACATGTATGCAACAAATATGATCTTTTGCTGAGGCCGATTAGCATTTAAATGCTTCATTCGTGTCTGTCTGCCTGAATGAATCATTCCCATTACCAAATCGTTTAAATTTACCCTTACTAATTTCCCTCCTTGCTACAGTATTTCAACTTAAGTTCTACTTCACTGTTCCTTTTTAAATCGAATATTACTGCATCTTACTTAGCTGCACTACATTTTGCTCTATTTATATGTATTTGTCGTGCCAATGAAGCACACTAAACAGAAACTGAAAAGAGAGGGATAAGAAAGAAAAAGAAATTGAAAGGAGGACAGGTCATGTGACTCACCCTGGTCAAACTGTCGCTGCATGCTTTCCATCTCGGCCTTATTTCCACTCACCCTGTAGATCCCTTCTGTGCTCAACCCTGTGTGTGTGTGTGTGAGAGAGAGAGAGTTGACATTAATTAATGAGTTTTGCACTCTCAGAGCTTGATAAGAGCCGACAATGGTGTTATCTCCAGCTCAGAATGTACAACGCATTACACATATTTAATTTATATCTGAGGTTGCTAATCGTGCGACCACACTCCGACTGTCAGATCTTCACTGTTTGACTTATCAGTCGTACATGAAGAATGAGAGCTGCCACAGGCAGAGAGCAGCTTGCGTCTTGTGCCCCACAGATGCAGACGGAGACAAGAGTCAGAGAACGGCTCGCCTTGGCCCATCTCGCCCATGCAGAGAGAAAACAAGTACATCGATAAAGAGGAAGACAGATCAAGAGGCAGAGAGACACTCTCGGAAACGAGTCGGCGCGTTGCATTGACTGCCTCACCTCTGCTGATCAATTATCCATAAAAGCTTTTCTGTAGAGCTGCAGGAAGGGAAATGTGTGTAGAGAGGAAGGGTGTGTTTATGGCAGAGTGTAAGAACATGAGGGAAAAAAGAAAAGAAAAAAGGTGAGAAAAGGACTGTAACACTACAGAAAGATCAAGTTTCATATTGCGTTATAGATTTGCACTGATCATAAAACTCTACTTTTGATGTCTGAGAAATCCACAAGGTACCTGGCCTACCAATCATTTCAATGTTTCTATTAAAAATAGGTCGAAATATGATATGAATATGAACTGCTTATTCAAGGTAATTTTTTTTTGTGATATAAAATTTACATCATTATATTAACCATAACAATGTGAATGCCATAGTATTTTAATGCTAGACCTCAACAATAAATTTTTTTGCTATTGGACTCTGTTGTTTGTTTTTTACTTGCACTTCCAACTTTTTTGTAATAATAATAATAATCATAATAATATTATAATTATTGGGAGCTCACGCTGCAGTGGTGTATGTAAGCAATATAAGCCATGCTCTCCATGAAGACAAAGAAGTTTCAGCTAAGGATAAATGGATTTTCAGCCCTTGCATTAACTCTACTATTAAATATATTTATGGAGATGAGAAATAATAATAATAATAATAATAATAATAATAATAATAAGGGGTGTAACGGTTCAGATTGCTTGCGGTTCGGTTCACGGTTTTAGGGTCACGGTTCGGTATAGTTCAGTACGGTATGTGCTATGTTCAGGGAAAAAAGGACTATGGTCAAATAAAAATAAAGAAAATAATAAACTAAATGCAACAGCACAAATAAATACAATAGAGCATGCATCGTCAGATCAGATCTCAAGTGGGTCAGGGCAGTGCGGGTGCAGGGGCGGACCGCGGTACATACCGTGATATGTTTTGTGGGTGGTGCATCGCGGTTTTTCGGTTCGGTTTGAATATCGTTACACCTCTAATAATAATAATAATAATAATAACCTGCATAGCTATGATCAGCTGTTCATCTATCTTGGCTGAGCTTTCGATCTCTATTTGAGTGCGCTTGCCATGCGCCTACATTTAAAATAACTAATTTGAGCATGCAAAAGACACAACGTGAAGAGCCTACGCATTTCATAACTGCTCGTTCGGTGTGCGCGAGAACTGTTTACTCCTACTGACAATCCCACATGCGCTGCAGAGACCCACAGAGACGTGGTTGATATTTCAGACAAAGACCAGGGGCCTCATTTATAAAATGTTGCGTATAAACCGTCCTAAATTTGTTCTAAGATAATTTCTCAAAAGTGCGTAAGTGCAATTCAGAGAAAACGAACGTGTGCACAAAAACACGTGCGTACGCCTCTCTTTCAGATGTGACATTTATAAATCGCAAATGATCTTGATATTGTGCGCAGCTGACTGGTGTCAGATCTCCGCCTTGTAAACGCCCCCTAATTAATATCATTACCATATAAAAGTGCACACACCAATATCCGAATTTCTATGCTTGAGAATGACGAGCACAAAGAAAAATAAAAACTTTTGTCTGAAATTGAGGTCCTGCTGGCGGAGGTAGAGGTTCGTGCGGGGACGATTTTTATTTAATAATGTGTAATTATTCTGTGGATAAACAATGTGTGTGTGGTTATATTTTTTCTATTGACTTATCAAAATTACTACTTCTAGAAACAACAGAAATAATAATAATAATAATA